GACTTTGGCTGCCGCTGCCTGTTATGGCTGCAAAGTGTAGATGAAAGTGATACTGTTAGATGAGGAAAATGAAGACTTTTCCTAATAGGTTTCCCTGTACCATCATCTTAATCCATAAATTACCTGTCTTCACAGTTCAAGGAAATAGTCTGGCGCACAGCTGTTGCCCTCTCCAAGCCGTGCTCCTCCTTGATGAGGGTGTTTTCAACCTCTCCTGCATCTGCGTGCCTTGGGGTGTGCATGAGAAGCACAGAGAGTGCAGTATGAGCAGCCAACACACTCCCGCAGGCCAAGCAGCCCAGCATGGGGACTGCACCCAGTTCAGGTGCAAGAGGTCTACCTCAAACAACTCTCACTGTTATGAACGTGCTTGTGTGTGCTGTGGAAAAACACACGGGTCTGTGCAAAAATTAACTATTCATTGGGAATTTTCTTATTTCCTGGAATAAGAAGCATTAATTATGCTTTGTAATAATGAACCCTTAAAAAAGCAAACCCATAGTAGTGTGGAGTGGGAGTGTGAGTAAAACACATCTCTAAGCAAACCTCAGCCAGCAATCACCACAGAGCTCCTGGTTCTGGGCTTCCTTGTGGAAGAATGCCATGTGGTGAGCATCATATGGAGAAACCAGCTCACAAAGACTAAAAAAAAAAAGTCCTCCCCTCCCTCCCCCTTTCCTTCTCATCCTCAGGGGAAATGCAGGGCTATTGACTTGAGACTGCAATGTAATTCCCAGAGGTGTTGCCAAAATGCCAATGTGATGTCTCATGGCACATTTCAGCCAAATACCAACCCAAGGGAGGTAGGGGGAACCAACCAGCCCTTTATATATTGCAGCAGCAGTGATGTCACACGCTCCAGCCAAGTTTGCTGGTTTGTGTAGCTCCCATCTAGTGAAAAAAGTTGACATTCAGTCTGTGCCAGGCCAGAAATAGTCCATGTAACTTAATCTCCACATCACAGCTTGCTAGGCACTTAAGAGAGCTACTGAAAAAAAATCCTGCTTTAAAGGGAAGGGAGGTTGTGTTCAGATTAAGCTCCTTGAAACCTGCACATTCATGCAAGCTTTTTCAGAAGCTCAGATCAAATCTATCCCAAACACCTTTTTTTTTTCTCAGCATTTCTCAAGCAATTCCAAATGCTGCCTTGCATTTGTCTATCAGGAAAGCAGAATAAACTCACTTCCCCTGTGTTGTAGAACTAGCTGAATCCTGAACTAAGCTTGAGCATTGCATCTTGCTTCCTTTTCCAAAAAAAAAAAAAAAGAAATGTAGAGAAATGTGATTTTCTATCAGCTAGTTATGAACAGCATTTTTTCCCAGCAGTTTAGAGGCTGCCATCATGCCTGTACTAGGCCTAGGAAGATTGTAAAGTCCTGCTGTTTTCCTCACTCCTGATTTGCCCCTGGAGCCCCTGTAGAGATATAGCTTTTCCATCTTGAAACATTACACTACCCAAGTATAGGTATTATGGTGAGGCGAGACAAGGATCTTCACAGGGATTCCAGAGACAGTGACAGTCACTGTTCTTCTTTAATGAGTTATGCTGAGCTGTTTTTATAATAGTGACTCCATCTAGGAAAATAATTGCTGAGATTACATCATGACCTCCATGCTTATTGTTACCCTACTCACTTTTCAGTGAATGTTCTCAGTTTACAAGGGACGAGATGTTTCTTCAGACTTCTGTCCATGCGATTTGAAAGCCGACCTCCTCCTGGTTGAGGCATCATCACCAATAAATAGTGATAAGCATTGTACTGTTGGAATTTAGTCAACAGTTCTGCTGATGAGCGAGCCAAAACATAATCTGCACAGTCTCCCATGGCAGAGTTGGCTTTGCACAGTTAAAAGTACTACAGAAGCATTGAAATCTTGGTTTAATCTCCAAGCAAGGAGGAATCTAAGAACAGCTCTGTACAGTGAGGATGCCCTTTTTATGTACTTCCTGGCTGCAACCTGAATGCAACCAGTGATAGAGTTTTTCCTAGTTTCTTTGTTTTTATTCTTTTAGTCAGATTAAAAAGACCACAAAAAATCCCTGAGTGAAACAGGGATTCACAACCATCTTGCTAACACCCATCCGTCCCCAGATGAGGTGTAGGAGACCACTACAGTGGGTGAACCCTTGCTGCTTCTTTTGCCACTATGTTCTGGATGCTGCAGGATGATAACAAGTTTTCTTAGAGGAGTCTCTTGATCCAGGAAAAACTACTGTATCTATTGCTGTATTGTATTTATGTTGTCTTATGTCTCAGTATTTTCTGCTGCAGAAAGTAGATCTTGTCTCTCCAAGACACACAAACTAGCCTGAAATCCTTGGGATTCTCCACAGCAGAAGGGCAGCGGAGCTTATTTTCAGTATCTTCTGATTCTGTTTCTTTGATGAAAAAATTCTTTTGTTTACTGCCCATTATCATCCTATATTCTACTTTCCTCTTCTTTATAATAGGGACAGTAAAAAGGATAAATCTTTTTGAGCCAATTCAGCTAACAGTCCACCTGTCTATCTTTGCTGACAGTGGGAAGTACTCTGCAGCTGGAGGGAAAGCATGCATTTTTCTTTGTGGTCCTGCTAGAAGGGTGGCATAGCAGAGAGGTGGGAAGAAGTAATCCAGCAAAACCCTGGGATGGGAAAGCCCATTTGGGTGGGAAGGCTGCTGAGGGATTATTGGTAAGCCATTAGTTTCTGCTAGGGCTACTGCAAACGGCTGAGGGGTTGTGACAGTGGTCTGCTAGAAACCTGACTGACCTCCGCAAGCTACCCAGCCTTCAAACTATCTGGTTATTATCACTCTGTGCAGGATACCTGTGTCTGTTGGTGAGAAATACTGTAAATCACTCCCAAAATGAGTTGACAGCATGAGTCAATATTCAACTCATACAAACAAATGCCTTTGTCTTCAAATTGCAGAGCTCACTTCAGGTCAAAAATGCTGAAGACTGGAAGCATCCCAGGACACTACTTCAGTCAAGTCTACATCATCAGACTATTTTTATCTCCTCCATAAAGATGGTCAGAAATGAAGCAAGATACAAGCATGAGGAGAAGTTCTAAAGAAGAGAAGCAAGATTACCTGGCAGGTATGCACTGGTGCTACCTCCTTATATAGAAGTTAAGAATCTCATCAAGATTAGGATGGACTTTCACTTATATTCTCTTTTATCTTGCTGGATTGTGTTCAAAGTGTATATGTTGGAATATGGACGTGTGTTCTTCAAAAAACTCCATGCGAAGTAAAATAGAGAAAACCTATTAGACATGTCTTGTTTCAGGTACAAATCTGTATAAGTCACTGGAATTATATGGCTGTGAGGGCAGAATCAAAATTCACTATTTTAGCTTGAATCTAAAAATAGATTGGTTGTGTTTCTAAATAGAAAAGGAAGGTCAGAAGTGTTTTCATTTGCAGAAAGAACTGTCTGAATAACTCAGCTAAGTAAGCCTGATTCCTGACATTTCATGCTTAGGCCATGCTTTCATACTGAGCACCATGAGGAAAAACCATGCCCTTTCCAAGAGTCTCACTGAGACAGACAAAGGTAGAATCATAGTGAACTCTGGATTTGGGCACATCAGAAGCTAATGGTGCAAGTCTGCTAGGAAATCAAGATACAGATCAGAGTATTTATGCAGTTGGTTTTAGCAGGCTTTTGAATATCCTTTTAAACTGAGTCTCACTGTACTTCAGTCAATAGCCTGTTCAAGCTTCTGAGTGCCAGAATATGCATCTAAAGATTTTACAGAGTAAACATGGAGAAGTTGTATACATTTCAAGTACAGCTGAAGGGTTTATTTTACTTGTAAAGACTCAATCCATCCAAGACCTCACATCCTCTGTTCAGACTGATGCAGAGATAGACAAAAACTGCAGTGCTATGAGCTCTGCCTTTGTATCGTATCCAGAGATTAATGAACGGCTGTGATATCTTACAATTGTGTTGAATGTGTTGCCTTTTGCTCTCATCACTTCTGGAACTGAAACCAAATACTCCTTTAGTGGGTCTGCTAAGAGTCCCCTAGGCACTTCTGCCTTCTGCTGGCTAAGCTGATATTAGCAGCTTCTTCAGTTTCAATATATCAATCCAATCATACCTGGATGGCCGAAAGATGTTTTCCCATCAGTTTTTTTCTGGCAGATGTTAATGCATAGTAGACCACCTTACCTGTGGGGCCATTCTGCTGTCTCAAGCAGGAGTCCTCATTAGGGTAATTGTCACAGCCAAGTTTCAACCCAAGACAAGCAGTTCATCATGACAGACTTCATTTCCTACAGTTATGAACTAGCAGAAGAGTGAGGATAGAATCTTCTTTAACAACTTTAATTTTCACACAATGCTATAATTATAGTTATGATGTGCTGCCAGTAAGTTTTGTTATCTTTTCCTTCATTTCAAACAGTAGGATCCGGTGTGCTTGGCAACATCCTTTTTTTAAATCAGTTTGCTTCCTTTCTATTACAGCTAGTTCTCCCTGGCCAACAATGGCTAACTTGCTAGCCAAACAAACCCACAGCACTTGGAAATGTTTATGGTTGGAGGTATATAACCAGAAGTACTTGAAATTTGGCTCTTAAATCCTTGTTTAAGAGCCCAAATAAAGAAAAATGAGGTGAGACCACTTTTTCAATGGCACTTTCCAGTAATTGAATCATCTACCAATAGCTACTTGAACTGACCAAAATAACAACTCCTTTTCGTGTTGTCCGTTGTGTTGCTAGCATTTTGTTCAGAATACATGCAGGATCAAATTAGCTAATGACTGATATATCTGGAAAGTGCTCTTTGTCTAGCAGGATTGATATAGAAAAATGATTGTTTGTAATTTTTGGCTTTTCAGAGAAGAAAGTTTCCTTTGGCTATTCCGTAAGATGAATCAACGTGTAGTGGCACTGTCTGGAGGAATCTCTTTGTGTTTGTGAATCACAAACGGCTGGAACTATCCAACTATTTGACACCTGAAAATAACCATTTGGATTCATTCATGACTCATATGAACAATGCAGGGAAATAAGAAACATACAGAAGGACACAGTGACTCCTCAAGTATTGGGAGTCATCTGGATGACACAGACAGAGAGGTGAGCAACCTCACAGCCCGGTCTTTCAAAAGTTTGTGTGTGGCAGAACTTGAAGACCCTTACAATGAACCAGATCTTACCATTTCACCTGGCTTCACTCACCAGTTCTCTGCTAAATTTCACCCAGGGGCATTAAACCATGCCATCAAGAAGAGCCACGTCTGCAACAAGCTAACAGCAAGGAACAATGAACCAACAATATGGGCTTCGACATTCCAGCAGTTACCAAAACGTACTCAGGAGGAGAAAAAGACTGCTAAAATTAGCACCCTCGGCACAGAAAGGAGAAAGCTGAATTTGCCAGCCCCTGGGCCAAGGAACAATAAACATGTTTCAAAAGTGTCTTCTCTGATTAAGACATTTGATAAGACTGAAAACCAAGGGTCAGGAAGTTCCCTGGTAGCCAGTAAGCAGCCCATTAAAAATAGTTTTCAAAAGTATAAGGTAAAACATGGAAATGATATGGCTTGCTGGGATGATACAACCTTTTTAAGCATCCAGAAGGAACTTTCTGAATTTTCTGATGCTTGTCGAGATAGCCACCATCTCAGTGGCAAATATGAGCCACAGAAAAGGCTTAATAAAACAGATCAGAGTTATTGTGGTCCTGATAGTTATTATCCTGTGCTCATTGAGATGTCAAAAGTAGCCAAGTCAAATTTCTCCCGTTTTTCTAACAAGGCTGCCAATAACAGAAGTGTTAAAGTTATCGAGCCAACAAAAAAGGGTAATTTTCTTCACAGTGAGAACAGTGCTTTTGAATCATGGAATGTCCATCATAAAAAACTGACTGAAAAAGAGGAATTTATTGATAAACAGAAAACAGAAAAAGGTCTTGCATACCTTGAGGAAGCACCATTTATTAAAGGATCCAGCACATGTGAGCATAAATTACCACCTGTCAAAACCACCATTGCTAGAAAACAGGAGAAAGACTTTCAGATTGAGTCAACACCACTAGAAACTGCTTTCAGTGCCCCCCTCCCTCCTGTATATGTACCTCAGGGCCCTGTCCCGATCCCGTCAGGAACTGAATTTCATGCTATTCTTCCTCCTCCAACCCCCTCTAGGACCCACACGCACCAGGGCCCTCCTCCAAAACCTCCAGCCTCTGAAGCCCCCCTTGTGCCGCCAGCTCTGGCTCTCCCCTCTGTTGAGCCCCAGGCCTCTGTCTCGCCCCAGTCTGTGTCCTGCAGGACCATTTCTCCCTCGCCCTCAACCCAGGCACCTGACCTGCTTGCCCCAGGACCCCCAGCCACGCTGGCCGAGGAGAAGGCCCTCAGTCCCCAGCTAGATAGTACCTGTCCGCCATGGAGGAGACAGAAGATTACAAAAGATGCAGCAGAGAGGAGACAGACATCAAAAGAGACATTCATGCCCAACGGCAAGACATGCTCGTTGTCTGAAAAGGTCGCTGTGGCTGAACCTTTCCTGGACACAACTCCTTGGACTAAACAGGTAAACTTCCCAGGATCAAACAGTCCCTCTTTCAACATCACCGAACTCTTAACACCCATCATCCCACCAAAACAAGAGGCAGACTCCATAGAAAGTGAGCTGATCCTGGTGACACCTCCTCCCACTGAGAGTGTGGCAGGGAGAGAACATGAGGGGAGTGGGTTTGGTGATTACCAATCTCGGGATAGTTACAAATCTAAAGCAACAAGTTTATTATTCAACTTGAAGGATGTCCGTAAACGTGTTAAAAGGATTTATACCCCTTCTCCTCTGTTAAGGGCCTTGGAGGATAGAAATAAGACTAAGGAAATTCAGGAAGCACAGGAAAGTGTAAAACTGAATGACTCGCTGTCAACTTTGCAAGAAGACAGCAACAACAAGATTGCAGAAAAGGATGAAGCAAGTGACATAACTTCTGTATTATCTGACAATTTTCAAGAAAAGGACAATAAAGCAGATTTAACTGGATCCTTCGTGGATAGTTATCTGACTTTGAGTTCACCCCAGACAACAGCAGCTCCTTTATTTTACCAAACCAGAGACAATTTGCAGCAAGATGATTCAAAACATGAAGATCTTGTTAAAAACACCAGAGGTCATGAAAACTTCTCCTCATTCAGACATCAGTCAAAAGAACTTGATTTAAGAAAAAGTCTGTACTATCCAACACTGAAACCATACAGTAGAGACATTGTGGATACAACATCTGGGCAGCCAATTCAAAATCTCAGTTTTCACGGTGAGGAAAATGAGAAACAGTGTGACAACCAGAATGAAAATTGTGCCTTCAAAACACTCCAAAATCAACTTTCACCAGCAGAGGATGTGCCTTACAGTGAGAACCAAACGGGTATGCTAGTAACTGGCAAGGAAATAAAAGGCAAAAGAAGCACCAGTTCTTCCGAGCAGTCTTTTGTGTCCACAGTAGAGCAACCCTATCAGGAGGAATTGCTTCCATTGGTGCCACTGATGCCGAAGGCATGTCTTCAAGAAAGCCAAAGGAATAAGAGTGAAATGAGCGCAGAGAGTAAGAAAAGCCCCAAGGAGAGAGAGAAAGCAGTTGAGGAAGATGCACTGCAGTATTATGCTTGTATCAGTTCTGGTACTAGTTCAGCAGAGAGGAATGAGAATAAGGTTACTGGGAATGAACAGGGGAGCCTGATGAAAGAGGAAATAAGGAAAGAGAAAAAGGAAGAGGCCAACAGTGTGGATTCTGCTTCAGACAGTATAAAGGACACATCTACCTCCAGGTCCGAGGAGCCACAAACACCATCATCTTCAAGCTCATCGAAGCCCAATATGTTTATGATTAAAGACAACACATTCAAGTCCCCTCAAGTAATAAAGGCTGTCAAACTGCCCCTGATCAGGTCCTTTTCCTTAGACGATACAATGAGCAGCAGTTATAAGGAAATGAAAAGTAGATTTGTGCCCACAGCAAGGAACAAGCAGTGCCGAGACATGTTGCATGTCCCAGAAATAGAGTGGTTGTCATCAGGGCCCAGAGTGCAACAGAACGTGAGGGAAGGAGCAGCTAGCAGAAAGATCGATGCCTGTGAGCCTGGATCTTCTTCAGCAACACTGGACCCCAGCCTTCAGGAAGATGTAGAGAGCTTTTCATTAGAGAAGCATATGCCAGAAGACAAAGAGACTTGTGCTTTGTTGGATGAAGCTGGGAAAAAGAATGAGGAGAGCATTTGCAGAAATGAAGAGAAACCTACCATTGGGAAGGAAAGACGTGGGTTAATACAGCCAGACTTAGGTCTGGAAGATGACCAAGTAGTAAACAATCCAAGCTACCCTGCAGAAGGAAAGAGTAATTACTTTAAGAATCATCTTTTATCTAATCGCAGAGGTGGCTCTTGCGCAAAAAAGATAATCACTAGGGAAACAAGTTCCCCTGTGGTAGGTTCCATGTCAGAGGACTACGCATATTCTCCTGTATCCCATGAAGCTTCAGAGGACACCCTACCCATGGAAGGCGCACCAGTTTTGTTAGACAACCTCACAAGTTCTGCTGTAGCAAGCCCCAGATCAGGCAGCACAGTGCACTCTCTTCTTACCTGCTCATCATCAGAGAAACCAACAATTTCTAGCCTCAGAGAGACAGAGGACGGTACAAACCCTGCCTTGCTAAACATGGCAGTAAAGAGCCAAGCTGATACATCTGCTGAAGAGACACTTGATTCAGCACATGGGAATCTGCCTTCTGATTTTGCAGGGATGGCTGAGAGACTGGAGCTCAGGGGCCCTGGGGAGAGAGCAGCGGGCAAACCTCCTGCTGTGCCACCGAAAACAGAAAAGGCTCTGCGGCGGGCCAAAAAGCTGGCAAGCAGGAGAAAGAAAATAGAAGAGCAACAGAAAAAACATCTGACAGAGCCTACAGCTGCTGTTGGGAGAAAGCTATCCCAGTCTGCGCAGATGCCAGCATTCCCCCCACCCATGGGAGATACTCCTCCCCATTCTGCCTTTCACTCAACTCCTACTCCTACACAAACTGGTATGAGAAGACTCAGTGGTGCATCAACAGTAAGCCCTTCACCCTCTTCAACCCAGCGTAAACTCCTGCAAGACCCGGACTCTGGCCAATACTTTGTAGTTGATTTACCAGCTGAAGCTAATTTAAAGACATTTTATGATCCAGAAACTGGCAAATATATCCAAGTTTCAGTCCCTTCCTCTGAAGGGAACTTATACGAAAGCCCCTCTTCAGAAATTATAAATTCTCCATATGCCTCCTACCCTAGAGTGATGCCTTTACCAGCTTCTTCCGTAGCAGCACTGAGGTCACCATCTCAGCTCTCTGAACCTCCCTGGTTAATGCAAACTCTACCAGGAGAGCCAGAAGAACTGCCTGAAAATGACCAGCAGGACCACAGATACGTTGAGCCTGACGATGCCCAGTCCTGCATTGATCCGGTCTTTTACTCCCACAGTCAATATGCCAAAGAAGCTCAAGTTCACTTAGGAAAGGACATGAGTCCATGCCCAAATGCAGATGCAGCATCCCCCACTGATTTAGATGATTTTGCAAATGAAGGGGTATCTTGAAAGCTGAAATTACAAAATATGCCATCAACTGTTTTAAGAGATGTTCAGACAGACACATGCACACAAAAGCACATGCAAATTTGATGTTTGTGAAACACTGTATATCTGAATCTCACTGTAGTTTGGGTGGAAAATGAGGGCTAAGCACGTTGCAAGAACAGAAGCGATGACTACACTGAAAACGTTGGATATTGAGTGAGTCCCAAATCATCAGTGAGATAAAGGGGGCAATGCCAGCTAAACAAATACATATGACAGTATGTAGCCACCTGCTTGCCGTTGCTGCTGCTTTGCCATTATGGTGGCTGGGATTGCCAGAGCAAGTGTCATTTTGCCCAGGTGTGTTGCATGACATATGACACAAAGTAAAACCTATGAGACCCTCCTGTCTATCCTATGAGATTAGGACAGACGCCGCATCAGCTGAACCTTCCTCACTCATTGCCCTGAAACTATATTGACAGGTAGAAAGGATGTGGCTACAAATATGCCATCAACCCAAGATTCATTTTTTTGCATACATCAATTACTTAGATGTTATTGACAAGAAGATTGTATGTAGATACATGATGCAACACAATGTTCTTATCAGAAAACTACTAACAACCAGAGTGCAACTGCAGATGCTCAAGAACTGCAGCTGCTCAAGACTTCTCATATCCCTTTGCAGTGTCCACTGCCATGCTTGTGAATTCTTTAAATTGTTGATAATATCCAAATATTCTCCTCCAGCATCAGGGATTGTTTATAATGCATCTTTAAACTCATTTTGAAAACGTGGCCTGATATATTGTGGTAAAAGGAGCAAAGCTAATGAAATCCCATTGCAGTATTTATATTTTGGTTAGGATAAAAAGACTTTTGCTTGTTATAATTGAAATACCTCCTTTTTTTTTTTTCTTCTCGTTAGGCTCCCAGTGAAATACAGATCTAAATTTCAAAACCTGAAAAATGTTGTTCCTAATTTTTGATTTGTGCGTTCTGTCATTTAAAAAATAAAAGCATAAAACATGCAAAGTATTAATTCCTACAAAAGGGCTATAAAGAAAAAAGTCTGTGAAAGAATCTGTATCAAACTTTAACTTACCCTTTATAAGGTCTTTTTTTAATTACGTGTTGTATGGTGCCTTCTCTAAAAGTGCATAATATGAGAACCTGATGAAAAGATGGTAATATTGAATGTAGTGTGCCTGCTTATAAATATCTATATTTGGATTATTGGTTTTCCTTTCTCTGTTTCATTTTCATATTGTCTTCCCAAATGCAAACTGAAATGCAGAAGCTCTAAAGAATAATAACAGTAACGACATCAGGTCTGATTCACATCTTAAGGATATTTTTACCAGATTGTTTTTAGTAGAGTTACTCTTGGCTTCCAGAAAAGAAAGGGAAGAATCAGGCCTTTTTTTAATAAATATAATTTGGGGATGGGACACAGGCACCTTCCACCCAAATTTTAATATTTGTGATAGAGGTTATTTTCAATAAATGTTTTCCATGACTGAGACTCTTCACAGGACACAGAACAAAGCTGTGCATTTTGGATACATCCCTCGCCTGAACTTCCAGACTTGCTCCATCCCTGGCAGGAGCTGTGCATGCAGAACCCTTATGGATCAAACCAGGCATGTGCTTTCATCAATGCCATTTACTGAAACATTTCCCCTAAAGGAGGTAAACAGACACTAAAAACAGCTTCTCAATGATTTCAGTGGAGTTTGTGTTTGATCCTAGATGACTTTCTGTTGTCCATTTTATTTATTTTGCAGAGTTATGTTAAACTTACCATTTCGTGATTGGGGAGAGATGTTTGTGGGAGAGATATGGGGCGAAAATAATCAAGTTTATACTGGTTTATTTTGGTTTTCTGTCACATTCAACTCAAATACCCATGTTCAGTTAAGCACTTCTGGAGTCTCCATCCTTGGAGGTTTTCAACATCCAACTGGATAAAACCCTGAACAACGTGATCTGGCCTCATAGCCAACCCTGCCTTGAGCAGGAGATTGGACTAGAAACCTCCTGAGACCCCTTTCAGCCTGAATTATCCCCTGATCCTATTCTGTAAACATTTAAATATCTAAGCCAGCTTTGAACTGAAATTCAGAAAATGCAAACCGATCTCCCGTGGGAAAGGGCTCATTTTGAACAAAAGAAAAAAAGATTTTGGAAAACAAATGCTTCAGGAACAAGTGTATATTTCCAAGTGGTTGCAGTATGGGAAATGGCTCCCATTAGGAATATTTTTCCTTTCTCCTCCGCCACAGTTTTGCCAGACTGCCACGGTACCTGCTGTTCATCCTGCGCTTTTCTCTTGTTGCTTTCACGTTGTGCAACACAACTGCCTACCCAGCACAGGGTAAAATGCTATCTGCTGGGTGTGGTAGATTTAGAAGTAACCAATGTAATCTAAAATCCTAGCAGAAGGTGCAAGCCTTTTATTTATAATATATGCATATAAATATATATATATGTATGCTTATGTAAATGGCCTTTACAGCCACAAGTCCAGAAGTAGGCAAACCATCAGAGAGTAGCATGGAGGCATGTTTTCTAAGGGGAGACTGGATACAAAGTATCCATGCACAGATATATATATATATTAAAAAAATGGTAATTTGATAAGCAAAGTCTGCATTTTTTAAAAAGTTGTATCCTTTGTGCTTGGTTAACTGTGCCATTTGTTCTGTAAAAGTGCACATTTATCATTCTGCACCATATTTTCAAGGTATCTCTTAATCCAGTAAACTACTTTAAGGGGGACTAGGAGAGCAGAGTGTATTTTTTGCGCATTGTGAAAGCAAAATAAAGCCCTGGGGATCTGGAGAGAAGCCAGTCCTAACTTGGACACCAAATATATTTTAAGTAAGACATCTTTATTTTGGCCAATCACTCCTGTGACTTAAGGGAACTACATTCAAGGTGCACTGAGTCTCTAAACTTATCCACGTCTCAGAGAGAATTTTGGCCTAGAGAGTTCATAGCAAAACGTGGAACAAACACAGAGCTAGGGAAATTTGAACACAAGTATGGAAATTATTTTTGTCATGTATCCAGAACTTTCCCCAGAGCACTCTGCCACAGGGAGCAAATGATGCCTGTGCTATAAAAAGTGCTATAAAAATGTTACTCCAGATCCCAGCCCAATATTGATTCTGCCTGAGTGTGAACCCATCAGCAAACCCATCTCTGGCCTGGACTGTGCTGCTGGCCAGCTCCTTGCAAGGCCATATTCAGAAATAGGAGAATATTTAGGGTTTTTTTTTTCCCATGTTAGCAGTTTCCCATGCTACGATTAGATCCTAAATCAAGACTGTCTAACAAGTATAAGAGCTATAGTTTGCTGAGGTTCTCTTTAGCACAGCTAATGTTGTTCATCTGATCAGTGAAAGAGCAATAGCTGTGAGTAACAATAAAAAGCCAGATCATAAAATGGAATGAAAAGAAACTGGTCTACTGAGTCTAATGGAGCTGGGGCTAGTTACATCAGCTGAGCGTGTGGGTGTCATACAAATGAAGCAGAACTCTTCCTCTGGAAGCACTAGCTCTGTAGCTTTTAAAGCCATGTACAGACGCACGGTGGTTGTGACCATTTGCAATATTGGACAGTAGTGATGTTTGGGATGATGATTCATGTTGTTAGTTTGTTTGCTTTTGCTTTTTTTTTTTGGTTAGTTGGTTTTTACAATTGCTGCCATGGAAGAGGATGGAAGAGGTCATTACAAGGCAAAATGTCATCTTTAAACTGACTTTTTTGACTATAGGAAATGTGCGATAGTCATGAAAATAACTGTAGAAAAGAATTGTTATATGACACAGCAATAGTGACATTAAGTCACAGAATGGAGAGAGGTCTCGGCAAACTCATCCAGAGAAAAGCTGCATTCTGGCCTTGCCAGCAGAGAGAAGGAAGGAAAACCACAGGCTCTTTCT